CCACTGCCAGCCCCATCTGATAGCGAACCCTCCACAGATGGAGAGGATGAACACCAGGATTCTACATCGCATAATCTTCCATCATTATCACTCACAGGACCTACAGATTCTGATGATGAGTCTACAACCCCGGGCCTCCTGTCATCATCAGTGGCCGAGGAAAGGCTCCTGTCACACGATCTGTCACGATATATTGATCTCGATGCAACTCCGCTCCCCAGAGCTCAGAAGGCTGAAGCTGCCATAAACGCCGGAGCAGTAGCTGCTGGATTCTTTTCAATTTCTCAGATGGTTCCTAGCCAATTCAGTCTTCCACAGGATATTGCTGCCGCAGGTGAATTGCCGAGTACCCCTCTTGTCCTTTATAAGGGAAACCATTTTCACGATTCATTGGACATGCTCTTTCGGGTGTGTTTCGACTGGGTTTCCGATTTTTTGGAACCCTTCAGTTTTGTGTTATGTCGCTCACTCGGTAACCTGCATCCCGCAAATAATCGTGATCGAATCCGCGATGCCATACTGAATGGATCCGACGTTGATGCGCTTCTTGCTGACCCTATTCACCGGCAAAATATCTTCATGTCCGTTACGATGACTATGATCTGGGAATTCATATTTACGAGATATCTATTCGGCTTGGAACGGCCAATACGCTCCGGAATCAAGCGGCTAGAGAAGGAATTAGGGCAGACTCTGCCACAGGAAACAGTCAATCGCTGGCGAGCCACGACGTTGACTTTATTAGCCCAGGATACTGAGTTGAATCAGCAGCAAGAACGTGATATTCAAGCTATTTCAATTACTATTATCGATACACTGATGTCTGTACTATCGGAAAGGAGTCCTTATAAGCCTCGACTGCGCGAGGAGCTCGATGAGGTATTACGCCTTGCTGTGCAACTCTCTGTTGAAATGCGTACGCAATTGGCAGACTACATTATGCTACCCCCTCTTCAGCCAGAGTATGACAGTCAAGGCAACTTGACAAGTCAGATCTTCTTCAATGCCTCGTTGATGCATGATGAGAGTGGCGTGTATGCATCGGATGAACAGGCACAAACTGAACAGGCTGTTGTTCGCTTCGTCCTTTTCCCATTGGTAGTGAAAAAGAGCGACGACGATGGCAAAGGAGACGAAGAGGTGGTTGTTTATCCAGCTCAGGTGGTGGTATCAGATACGTCAGACAGTGATAGACAACATCCGTCGCCCGCTCATGACACAAGAGATTTTGATGCTGCAAACGACGAGGCAGATGATGATTCGGACAGGACTTCGGCAGGTAGCGCTCCAAGTCAAGTGTCGGTCGATGTTAGAGGAGTGCCACTTTAGTTGCTGCTTTAGCTAATAATGAAGCCGACATGTGCGCGCAAAGCACTTCTTACTTCTACAAACACGAAGTTTTGTATCACCTTCGAAGTAATCATTCCTTGGCTATATTTTTATAGTAGCAGACATCTTATCTTAAGACTTCATAGAGATCTTTTCCTTTCTTTTTCTTTTTCTTTTTCTTTTTCTTTTCCCCTTCTATGGGAACTGTACCCTACAGAAGTCATTGGTTACTAAATTCCTTAACCAATCAAGTCTCATTCTGGATGATACGAAGCCCTGCCTTTCCACATACATGACTTTGTCACAATGGCGTCGTATCAGTCTTGTTTCAACCCAAAATGGTATCATGCGGAAGCAGGAGCACCCCATAATTAATTCTGATCCATAGGTAATAGGTATATAAACCTTGGAACAGTATTTGAAACATTCTTATTCGTGAATAATACTATAACAGTCATACAATCCTATAAGCTAATACCCATACATGCTCATATAAATGTCATAAAACATCAAACCCTTCATGCAGATACAGCTCCCCATCCACCTCCACCAGCAGTATTGATTACAATGCGATCATGCGTCTTCATAGAAACAGTGTTCTTTCCTCCGATGTTGACCACGCGCTCCACGCCCGTATCCACATCCTTTGTAACCCAGAGGTTCATTCCGGGCTGAGCATCCTCGCCGCCTTCGAGTCCGTACGGGCGGTAAACGCGCCTCTCAGAAAGAATAGATACTTCCATCGGAGAGAGGAACTCGATATCGCGAACCACACCGTCACCGCCAGGATTCTTTCCCTTGCCGCCGGATCCCTCTCGGAGTGTGAACTGTCGGAGCAGTGTTGGGTAGCGCTTCTCCAGAATCTCCGGGTCGGTGATACGCGTGTTGGTCATGTGTACGTGGATACCGGACTCTCCGCTCCAAGTGGGACCGGCACCGCTGCCTCCGGCGATGGTCTCGTAGTAGCCGAAGCCAGGGATAGTCTCGCCGGTTTCAGGGTCGCGCTTGGAGTTGGTGCCGAAGGTCAGGTTGTTGCAGCATCCTTGGGAAGCGGCACAGGCGCGGAAGGCTTTGAGCACAACGTCGGTGATGCGTTGAGAAGTTACCACATTTCCGCCGACCACAGCGGCAGACTTGGTGGGGGACAGGATACTAGGTGAGGGGACTTGGATGTCAATAGGTGCCAGACATCCCTGGTTGAGGGGCATGTCTGCGTTGATCATGCAGCGCAAGCAGTAGATGATGGCCGAGTGGGTGATGGCGATGGGTGCGTTCCACCCGCCGTATACCTCGGGGCCAGTACCGTCAAAGTCGAATAGAGCGGAACCATCCTCGCCGTTGATAGTGACCTTTAGCTTGATAGGCGTGCCGTCATCCATGTAGTCGACTGCTTCCAATGGTTGACCACCGAATTTCTTGTGCAGATCCTTGAGAAGGTTGCGGACGGCTGTCTCGGCTGTGGCTTGGATGGCATACATATACTTCTGCACCGTCTCAACGCCGTATTCGGCGAACAAGGCTTGGATCAGTGAGATACCGCGGGTGTTGGCTGCAATTTGTGCTTTCAGGTCGGACAGGTTATCGCTGACGCATCTAGCTCCGGAGCAGCCTGGGTATTGAGCCGGCTTGTGGACCAAGAGCTCCATCATACGCTCCTCGTCAAAGACGCCATTGCTGACAATTTTGTCTCCCTCAATTGCAGCACCCTCCTGCCAGAGCTCAGTAGACTTTGGTGGCATTGAGCCTGGGAGGATGCCACCAATGTCTGCGTGGTGGCCACGGGAAGCCACATAGAACATGATCTCGGTGCCACCCGGTCGGTCGAACACGGGTGTAATGACCTATCGCTGTTAGCTGTGTAGTCGATTGGAGAGCGGATGGTAGACTTACAGTGATATCAGGCAAGTGTGTGCCACCACTGCTAGGGTGGTTTGCCACTAATACATCACCGTCACGCAGATCACCGAGCCACTTCTGGTGCTGGTAGCGGACCGCAAATTGCATGGAGCCAAGATGCACCGGAACATGCGGCGCGTTGGCAACAAGACCTCCATCGGGGGAGAAAAGAGCGCAAGAGAAGTCAAGACGCTCCTTGATGTTTGTAGATACGGATGTTTTCTGGAGCGTACGCCCCATCTGTTCGGCGATTGACATGAACCGATGGCCGAAAATACTAAGCCGGATCGGGTCAATACCTGAGGATCCACCCTCAACACCATTGACATGAGGGAGCTCCTCGAGGTCGATGACTATGCAAGTTTCCAGAATACTAGCGACGGCATTCGGGGCCACCACGACGGTTTGTGTTTCGTCAATGATGACAGCAGGGCCATGCACCCGAGTATTCTTCTCGAGCTTGTTCAATAGATACACAGGAGTATTGATCCGCTCAGAGTATCCGTCAAAGTATGCTTTCGAGGTGTTGTCCGGACCTCCACTGACATCCTTCAGGGTAGCCTCCCTCAGCTGTACGAGGGGGCTCTTCTCCGTCCGAACCTTTGAAGAGGCAATTGTGCGAACACGAATATCGTCAACTAGAACCGATCTGTCAGAGTTGAATCCGAATTCTCTGCGGTGTCTGGCACGGAACTGCTCGAGGAAATCGGAGTCATCCTCAGGCTTCAGGATCATCAGGCTGGTATCTGAACCCTCGTAGCGCAGGTTAAGATACAAATCGTGGCGAACTTGGTCGGCCGAAAAGCCTTGCTCCTGCATGTCTTCAGTAGACGCCTTGATCATGTCTCCGAAGCGCTTGTCAAGTGTGGACTGGGAGGTCGAGTACTCCGTAGAGACCGGCTCTTGCGATTCCTTAACCACCTCAGCCAGCGCCAAGCCATACGCCGAAAGGACAGATGAGAACTTGTGAATGATAACGCGGGAAATTCCCAAGGACGCCGCAACGGTACACGCGTGCTGACCACCAGCACCGCCAAAGCATGCCAGGTGGTGGGATGCAGTTTCGAAACCGCGAGCTTCCGTCAGGTTGCGAATGGGGCGAGCCATCGACTCATCCGCAACCTTCAAGAAGCCTAGTGCCACCTCCTCCGCTGTGAACTCGGATTGGCCCTTTTCTTTTCTCTCGGAATTGATCTTTTGCGTCAGCTCGTTGAAAAGCTTAGTCGTAATCTCAATGTCAAGAGGCTGGTCTTCATTGGGTCCAAAGATGTGAGGGAAGTATTCCGGAAGCAGTCGGCCGAGGAACAGGTTGGCGTCGGTAACGGTCAGAGGACCGCCTTTGCGGTAGCAGGCAGGGCCCGGATGAGCTGACGCCGATTCAGGACCGACGTAGAAGAGACCGTTGCGCCACGACAAAATAGAACCACCGCCGGCAGCGACAGTGTTGATGTCGAGCTGAGGAGACTGAATGAGAACACCGGCCACCTTGGATCCGAAGACGTGCTCGAGGTGACCGTCAAACCGTGACACATCGGTTGATGTGCCTCCCATATCGAACCCGATCACTGGGGTCTTCTCCTGAGGATCCCAGCTCGTCGCAGCAAAACCAACCACACCGGCAGCAGGGCCCGACAGGATCGCTTTCAACCCGCTGAATCTGCGAAAGTCGACCAGCCCACCGTCAGACTGCATAAACTCAAATCGGCATTCGTGCTGCTTCTCGAGCCCGCCCTCGAAGCTAGCCGAAATCGAGTCAATGTAGGTTTTGATGACAGGCGTCAGATAAGCATCTGCGGCGGCAGACATGCCTCGGGGAACCACCTTGATCATGGGCTGGAGTTTGGATGACAAGGTGACCGAGAAGCCCATGCTTTCAGCCAGCTCCCCGATGAGGCGCTCGTGTTCAGGATAGGCGAACGAGTGGACGAGAGCAACCGAAAGGGACTGGTAGCCCTTCTCCTTCAACTGTTGTAATACCGGGCGCACCTCCTCAATGTCTAGTTCTTGTACCACCCGGAACTTTTCACCCGTTGTTCCCTCCACTATGCGAGCATTCTGAAAGCAGTCCTTGTCGGCGAGAGGGTGGCATGGTACGACACGCTCGTTAATTTCAACCACTTGCTCGGGCAAGACTCCGGGTCTAGCCATTGAGAGATCGAAGATGTTTGGTCGTGATTGGTCGCCAATCTTCAGTAGGTCACGGAAGCCTTTGGTGGTGAGGAGCACGGACCGCGCTCCCTTACGCTCCAGCAGGGCATTCGTAGCGACTGTGGTTCCCATGCGCAAGCTCCCAATGCGATCAAGTTTCAACGGCTGGCCGCGCGGGTGTGACTCGCCGGTGACGAGCTCAAGAATCTGGCGAATTCCCTCCGTCGGAGCATCTTGGTAGTGACCGGGGTCGACGGAAAGTAGTTTGAGGATGATGTCGGGGCGACCCGGGACCACGGCGTGGACGTCAGTGAAGGTACCACCGCGATCGATGGAGATGGTGATCTTGTCTGACCCGGGCATGATGAAGGTTAGGGTGAAGAAGGATGAAGAGGAGAGAGGGAGGAGTGAGGAGAACAAGAAGGAAAGGGAAAAGGGTATCAATGGCTGTTTTCAATCACAAGATGGATGGAGGGGCATTCCCCAGGTTAAAATAACTGGGGGTTGCGATAAGCCATTCCGCTGTCGTCACCGGACCTCCCTCTATGTCCGCAATCGTTCATTGGTTGTAGGTCACGTGTCGGCCCGATGCACCCCCGGATCGGGGCAGCCGGACCGATCAGGCCGAATGCGATAACGGATGCTGATAACATCCTAGATAAGAAAGAGGTCTCATGAATGATCATGGCTCTTGGAGATGGAATATAGTAGAAATTATATTAGTGTCATACTTATAATGTGTCAGCGAGATCATGCTAAGGAAAAGTTATAGTTACCGCTTGTATCCAACATGAATGTAGTCATTCTCCATAACCTCCATAGTAGTCCAGGTTGGGGTACTAGTATCTGAGCTGCGAGTAATGACAGCATATATATTCATTCAACACAGCAGTTTCACGCCAGATGAACCACCACGTTGACTCAACTACTACTAAGTACAAACACAGAAGACAAGCGATGAGAATGGTCCAATGAATCATTAAATGAATTGTTCGATATGCTCAATGTTAAATATACTAGAGGGTATTTCATTTCTTCAAAGTATTCTCAATCCAATCAGTGTCCATATCAATGTCAATCTGGCCCAAGACCTCCTCCCACAGCCCAGGATCGTCGTTCACATCAAAGTTAAACGAGATTTCCTGCATCGACGGGATGTCTTGTTGTGGGGTCCAAGTGGCCTCCCCCGTCGGGTGATCGACTGCATTCTGTGATGGTGTTGGCTGCTGTGTGCTACTGGGAGTAACGGGCACTCCCGCAGCGTCTCCTTGCTTGGAGCTCTTCTGACCAATAGACGATCGTAGTTCAAGAAGTAGGGAGTGACGAGCAGCCAGGTTGGTATTGCCTCGGTCAGCCATGCTGCGAAGCAAATTTATCGATATTTCCATCGCTCGGGAATTAGCAGCGTTGTAGGGGAATGCGGCATTGACCATCACAAGTAAAAGTGCGGCGGAAAAGATGTACTCTCCGTCTAGATAGCCATATGTGGCTAAACTTGGTGTTAGCGAAGTGACCCGAGATATTTCCAAACTAATGATGAGTAGACGTACCAACCAAATTGTGCTTCGCTGCTGCATCCATTATAAGGGTGGTGGCTCGAGCTGCTGCCACACAGCTCTCAATCACCGCCACGGTGTTCTGCGATAGCCCTTCTTTCCAGTCCACGGTCGCAGAACCTTTATCTTCAGCATCGAGCCGGCGTTGAATTACATAGAAGACTAAAGGCCGTGCGGTCATGTTGACACAGGAATAGAAGTGTAAGAATATCGAGACCGACTCCCGATTGATGTGAGTACTTAGGGTGGAGAAGTCGATACGGAGACGATCAGGTATTCGTCGCAGCCAGTCCGAAAGCTCATCTGTAATACTCTGCACAGACACAAGCAAGTTGGAGCCAGATCGTGGCTTCTTGCGATAGATTTCTTCGTAACATGTCAATGGAGTCTCTGCTTGCGGGAATGACGAGTTGGCCACATACCTTCGCCTATCCTACCCAATATCCGAGACAACTGTGTATAGTAGGTGAGGACGACCGATGGCCAAGGGACCACCTCGGTTGCGCTCTACTTAATGTTAGGAGAAACCTAGTGATGGAATGCTCACTACTTACCGTAGGCTGCGGCCATGTTGTCCCTATATCCTCATCGTGGATAGTGATCGGATTGCCAGATTTGACGGACAGAAGTCTAGCAGGTGTTAGTAAGTATTAAGGGGGAGACGGACGTGAGCCTTACCGATCCAGACTATACACCGACCACCAAGCCCGCCGCCGACGATTCCGATCTTCTTCACTAACGTCTGGGTCAAGGACCTCTTGGTGAAGACCCAGTGAAATAGCCATGCGAAGAGCAAGGCCGATCTGGATAACCTGCATTAGCGGGGGAAATCATCACAAGAATTGAACTTACATAAAGAAATGCAGCGTCTCGACGATTGAGATTCTGCATATAATACGCAACGTAGCAAAGAACCTCCACGAAGAAGATAGAGCCTTCCTCGTGGATGTCGGGTAAGAAGCGCAGCGCATGTTTGAAATATTTGAACCCAGGAGGCCCGTCATCTCCAGACCACTGGTTCACCGAATACATCAGACCGAAGGCTATGACCAGTAACACCTGACAGTATACTAGACACGACTCTCGATTGAGTGCATCGGGAGGTTGGCTGTAAACGACATGGAGCCGCTCTTCGAAATCATGGGGCTGAATCAAGGAAAATATTGTCCCAATATAGACATACTGTACCCAGTAGAGTCGTTTAGCGTACTCGAATGGGGGCAGTTGGGGTAGAACCCGAGGAGCTGAGCGACGCAGAGACAAAGGGTCATCATACAATGGCCGCATATCCAATGCTAAGTTGGTTGATGAGGGATTTAGGCGTTTCGCCAAATGGGTGGTGGAAGACGCCCCAACATAATCTGTCTATTGATCAGCTCAGCTATGCAGGTATCGGGACCTCAAGACAAGCTCACGATGCTCTCCTGACCGATTCAAGAAGACATGACCGGTCTCATTGTACCACCAGTCATCTCGCTCGAGAGGCACCTCCACATTGTTGTAGGGACTGCTCTGGATGGCTGCAGGGGGATTGGGGAGAGATGGAGGGCGACCTTCATCTGCGGGAACAAATGAATCAGACAACGTGACAAATGATCATTTTCAAGAAGAATTTGATTGCATACATACCTCGACGGCTGGCCTGTGCCTGAGCGCGAAGTTGTTGAAAGTAGCTAAAGAATGTTGGTCACCTGCTCAGGCATCCATTGCGTTTCCTCTCAGGCTTCCAGGCTCACCTTTCGGGAATCGAGACGCGCTTCTCAGCTTCCGAGTAGACACACTTATGGCCCACCTCTGCGCATGCAGCACATGGATAAGGTGGGTTGCCAGCACACCGGGTCTTTCTGTTGCGGCATCGGTTACACCTACAAAGGGATATTAGCTGACTAGTCTAGCTAGGACCCTAGCATATTGCTGACGCACGCGACCATTGACCGTCTCGCGTTGGTTTGGTGCTCTGCAGCTCGCTGCTGCAGCCCACCTCGTCCTTTTCTCTGAGCCATGGCAGAACGAACTGCTATTGATAGATCACAATCACCATGTCGCACACTCTATTGCAGGGGATTGGTGCTGTCCGAAGCACTATGGGCTTCCTGTTGCGGATGCTGTCCACGGCTGGAGATGCCGATCAACGTCCACCAGTACGGAGTATAGCGGGGATGAGAGGGACCAGACACGTGGAATGGATCTCGCCAGGTCTAGAGAAAGAATGGCTGGGATACACACCGATCCAACAACAGTGATGGTAGCTCGGTCTCCACCCGATAAGTGTACCTGTGGTGGACGGTAGGCAGTTGGCGCCCAAGCTGGAAGGCTGCTCAATTCCCGCGCGATCGGCCTCTCCACGTTCAAGCGTGAGATGGGACTTAAGGCAGGCTAATGTGCAGGCAGAACTAAATGCCACCCCTCAATAGGTGGCTATCTTCATCCAATCCTACGAGTTCATGAGAGGTGCTGATGACTTTGCTGTGATCAGACGACTTATCTGCCGTTACATTGCGCGACCCCACACTGTTGCTGTGTTGCAAGCCAAATAATGCTGGAAGCAGAGTGGCCGCACCTCGGCCCGACCGACAACGGACCCCCCCTGAGGGGCACCAATTCTTATCACGTAATTACTTGGTGCCATTATTCACACCCAGGCACTGCCGGTTTTAAAGTTCTGGCCTGAATCCACTCGCGTGCGGGTGCCTGGGGACCTTTTAGACCTGTCGCGTATCTGTGAGCCCATGACTTCACTGCCGGCCTGCTCCGATTCATTTTCTCGACTCGGGTTATCGCGGCTGTGGGAAATGGAAGACGATGATGTGTTTATCCCGACAGAGTGTCATCATCAGTCGATATAACCAAAACAGCGTCGCGTCCACTGGAGCAGAAAATGAACCAGCATTCTAGCTTCCGCCATGGGAGTAGGCGCCGTTGCAGTTATACTGCTCGCCTTGCTGACATTACTTCGCGCCCTCCGCAATTATAGCCGTCTACGTGCTATCCCTGGTCCTTCAGCCGCTGGATGGTCGGACTTTTGGCGCATATATTTTCGCAATAAATCTCACTACGGTCGTCGTCTGTCAGGTCTTCATCGAGAATATGGCACGGTTGTGCGGTTGGGACCGCATTTCCTCAGTGTCGCAGATGGGTCGATTATAGGCCGTCTAGATCAGGGGGTCGATGAGGGGGTACGTGTTCAGCTTGTATTCGAACGATATTTGCTAATTGTCACAGTCACCAGAACCCCACTATAGAAATGCGATACCCTCGAATAGCCTCACCGTCAGCCCGGACAATCTTCAGACAACGCATCCTACCTGGGAATGCTCTCAGGGTATACCGGAGTACGAAGGAGTAATCGACCCTTCCACGAAACAACTCATCAAAGCGATACGAAGATACCGTGTGTTGGATATAACTTCGTCCCTGCGCATATTTGCGACGACATTTATAAATCAGCTTACCACCGGGGGTTTGTTACAGGCGAGGCATGATAACATGGGAAGTAACATGGGAAGAGGCAGCCGATGGTTGAGTATGTTCTCGACAGTTGAATTTATGCTCATCCGAAGCCCGGTGACGGCACTGAAGAGAGATCGCGGACGTCGACTAGCAACATGTGCGACATTGCCAGTGGCAGCGCCTACTGTTTCCGTCGAAGGGAGCCATGCAGTTAGTTCAAGTGGCCCTTTGCCACTGCAACAACGGTCGCGCGACGGAAGCCGGACGAGGCCATATTCTAATGGCGTCCGTGGAGGGCACAGTGTTGCCGGCACTTTCGTGTCGTTATTTTACTTTCTACTGAGGCACCAGGAGTTTCTTGATAGACTTAGGTTTGAGATAGACACTGCATTCGGTGTTGGATCGCTGTCGGACATACCTCGATGGAGAGAACTAAATAGGCTGTCCTACCTTGATGCCGTTCTGAAGGAGACGATGCGGCTGTCAGTGAACTTTGAAGAGGAGATCAAGGCACCATTAGATGGTGTTATTGTTGCAGGCTACCCAGTTTGCAAGAACACAACGCTACTGTGGAACTCCCGTGTTCTACAATTTGACAGTGAGACGTATGGGAATGATGTTCATTCGTTTCAACCTGAGCGGTGGCTTATGGCAGATGCGCAACAGCGAAGCCGAATGGAGCAGGGATTGATCTCCTTCAACCGCTGCGTGCGCAACCATCCAGAAGCCCAGGTGGCCTGGCTGGAATTGAAGAAAGTTCTCGTATTGATTCTTATGAAATTTAATGTGGGTTTATCGAGAATGTATACTGCAGGCTGATCACTGACTGGTAATTGCGAATAGACACAGCTTCTTCATGCCGCAGAGCCTAGCATTGACACCGACGACAATTTTACTCCGCCGTCTCTTATGGTTGGCTTCACCCCAAGGGTTCCTGGATATTGAGGTACCAGCTTGGCAACGCATAATTCTTGCATATTCCTTTTTACTTTCCAGATCATTGGTGTCGTTTCGCCGTCTTTGGATTCCTACTTCTTTAGCTAAGATACCCAGATAAAGCAATTGCCATACAATCTTTACCTCCGTTCACAGCAATACTACCTATACTAAGCGATCATCCGTGAAGAATAACATAACAGAATACCACAAAGAGATACTCCATGCTAAGCTTTTATACGACGAGCACTCCCTACAAGCAATGCCAAGGCCCGGGACGGCGCGTACAATCGCGAAGCGCCCGCTTACAGGACTCATCTACACCTACATTGGCCTCCATCCAATTATCAAACCCAGTAAAAAAAACAGAGATACTCCCAATAAACTCCATATTGCACTACTATACTACCGATGATAAAATTATCTCCGAATCACAACCTCTCCCCAACACCACATCCCACCCACACCACCGCAGAATAGCTCCCCTACTCATTCTCATCGACCCCAATCTCGGTCGTCTTGAACTTCCTCGCCGATATCTTTCTCTTGAAGAGAATATCCGCCTCACGATACGACCGATGCTTCAACTCCGGCAATCCAAAGTACGCTCCAACCCACACCACCAGGGCCGTACATCCCCAGACATACCCGCACTTGCCGGCCAAGTTCCATCCCGTGGTATTAAGCATCCGTGACGAGAGATAAATCATCGGGATTTCAGTAATATAATACGCGGACCGTCCGACAGCTGTACTTAGCGCGCGGAGCCGCACCGACGATGTCTCCGAGATGATAGTGTACGAGATGGGACCTTGTGCGCCGGCGTAGACCACGGAGATGATCACGCCGAGACAGGCTTGCGCGTAGTTCGTCTTGTGGGTCTGTGGTACGGAGGCGATGATACCGAGGATGAAGAGGAAGGTGATGTTCGTGGCGGTGCCGTAGAGGAAGACGGTGCGTCGGCGGAACCAGGAGGTCAGGACCCAGGAGACGGCGTTGGCGACGAATTGGAGACAGGTGGTGATGAGGTTCAGTTGGAAGGATTTGTCGGCGGAGATACCGGCCTCTGTATACATATACAAGTCAGAGAGAGACCCCACTGGGGAAGTTAAGGACGAGGGCGGGGAACTCACGCTCGAAGAAATAAGTGGCCTGGTTCGCAATTAAGTTACCCGCAAAGTTCTGCGACGCATAGATGAGACAGGTGATGATTGTTCGTCTGCGATCGGTACCCTTCCAGAGATCGAGAAGCGTGGGATTACCGCCTGTTTCCTCTTCGATCTTGACGGTACGCTCGATCATGGCGAGCGATTGGTGGGCTTGTTCTTCGGTTTTGGCGCCCAGGCGTTTGATGGATTTCAGGGCTTCTTCTTTGCGGCCGCGACGGATGAGCCACCAGGGGGATTCAGGGGCGAAGAAGAGGAGGACCATAAGGGGGGTCTAGAGATGAGTGATAATTAGCAATTGTTGAGTTACGGCATTGGAGGAGAGGGGTGTACCGGGAAGATCCACTGCAAGGCAAGTGGTGCGCGCCATTCCCACTCCGTAGTGAGAGAGTTGTAACCGTAGGTGGCGCCCGCGACGATGATGGAACCAATGGACCAACTCATTTGCAGGGTGGCCGTGACTGCAGCTCGGAGGGGGAGAGGGACGACTTCACTGGCGTAGGCCGGGGAGTTGGCGATGAAGAAACCCCATGGGACACCTTCTAGGGCTTGGCCGACCACGAGGAGGGTGAGTGAGTTCGCCTATATAGAAAGATGTTAGGTGAGGTGGAAGTGACATTCATGTAAGCAGGCCACGTACGAAGAACGAGATGAAAATCGTCGCATTCATGAGAACAAGACCCAGCATAGTCGTCCAGCGGTATCCGATCCTGTTCGTGATCGGTCCGGCTAGATACACACCGACGAAGGCACCGCATTGGCCAGATTGGAACAGAGCACTTTGCCATTTGGTCGGAATGGCCCAGACACCGGGTGAGGTTTCGACACCAAAGACCTTGGAGAAGTGATCGAGTGCGACGAAGTTGGTATTGAGGAACATGTCGAAGGATTCCATGACCTACGAGAATTAGTATGTTAGCACATGGCAATTAATTTGGTGAATGAATGTAGACAAAGCTTACAATGGTGAAGCACATGAGGAAGGCCCAGAAACAAGCCCAGGGATACTGCTTCGCAGCCTCCCAGACACCCATCTGATGCTCGTAATTCTCACCATCGAAGGCTTCATGCATCAGATCGGGGTTATCCAAAACCTCAGACTGGTGGATGTCCACCTTCTCGGTCTGAGGCTTCTCATCCCGCTGTTCGGCGACGCTTTCAGCCGCCATCTTGTCGGATATCAGGGCTCAACCACCGAGTGACTTGAGGAAGAGCTACGAGAGGTGGGGAAAGAAAGTCTCAGAGAAGGGAAGGAAAGAAAAGCATCGGCCAAGAGGGCGGGATGAAGGTCTTAAATTGACCTGACTTGATTATTCTACCCCATGTAACTGTGTGACTTGGAAAGTGAGTGCCGCCCGGCGTTTTCCCCCTTTCCACCACAGCCCAGGAATAAGCAACCCAGCAAGGGCGCAAGTGAAAATGCAGGCCCTCGACCAAAAAAATACGAGCTAAATGAACTCAAAATGAGACAAGTCCAGGTCACTAACGTGGTTGAACATGTGGTTGCTTGTCTCCACAGAATTACCCCATTGGTCCGGGATAAGCAGGGCTAATGTACGGAGTTAGTGAGTTAAGGACCACCAACATTACCCAGCGGTGACCAGCTTTGCGGGGGAAATGCCAATTGGAGATGCGGGGCCCCAGATGACTCCTGAGATTCCCGCATGGACCTCGATTCCTGTCATCCTCGGCTGGTGGTTGGCGGAATATCTCACGCCACAGCGCGTTGGGATTGGTTGTGAAGCCTTTAGCTAGGGGGCGGCCAGGTTACAAGCCCTTTTTGGTGTCACTGAAATCCTCGCCATAGGAGGCCTTGCTTGATTTTTAGCTAGTTCCGGGCAAGATATTAACCACGCGACACGTGTGAAAGGATTGATTCAGTTCTTTGACGTTGGATAATGACATGGAGGTATTAAGACTTCACGTTGGTCAAATGATTGTAATATTGAATCATCTGTAGGTTAAACGCAGCGATGGCTAAGAATATACCAAGCCCTGCCAAGTACCCATTAAGCCCCCTACCGTTTTCTAGGCTTTTCTGCCGAACCCTCGGCTACGTGCAGAGAAAAGCATTTTCAGTCCCAGTGATGATTTCACCTTTTACAACTGCTACCTAATCAAGCCACTTGTGATACACTGACCAAGCTTTGATTTACGCGTGACTTGGTGGTTGCCACTAGCTACATTCAGATGGTCACATTTATTGGTTGCAGTAGTAGCTGATTCCCCGTGGATAAGCAAGCCGCGGCTGGCTGGATTGGATACAACGCCACCGTTGTTCCTGTAAATCCTGGGCTTCGTACAGATGGTATCCCTCTCCAGCAAGCCATTACCTCTGTATCATTAAATGTCGATAGTTGCAAGATAGATATTGGTGATGTTCCATTGCTCCTTCCCTGACGTCTGCCTGAAAGCATGACTCAAACCGTGATTTTCAGTTAATCAACGATGCTCAATGAACAGCAATATCTAACCGAGCACCATCCAGACCCGGCTAGGCGCGCCTCATTAGGCAAGGATGAAGCCTATCCGGCCTAGTAGGTGATATAGGATCCCGCCACCTGCGGACTAGCGCAAACGCAACACAGGCCTTAGAAGTCACCACCAACCATAAATTACTCCAGAGACACTGCATCGCGCACATGTGAATTTAACCGAAAGCCTTAACAGCCCGACGTTGGGGCCGCATCCTGACAGCTCAACGGTAGCTTACCCCAGCTCCACGTGCGTGGGCTTGCGGCTTTAGGAAGCTTTCCAAGCTACTGTACGTAGACCTTTTCCATTATTGCGCCACCGTGCTATGGACGTAAGGCGTTATTTTTATCTTCCGCATAGCGGAGGACAGAATCATGCGTCAGTGCCTTGGTATGAGCTGAGCTTCGTTGGGCTCAGTATTCCCTTGTCGCTTTTCGCACCCTACGAACAAGATTCATAGGATGAGCGCTCTAACCGAATGGTAGACTTATATCCTGCCCGTCGATGGATAGTGCGTCTCATTTAAGAAATTCCGCAGGATTTCTAATTTCCTTCGGCTAATATCTGCTGTAAACTAATCAAGGATACCACACGTTCTGGGTAACCAGAAGTCTGACCTCTCAATATGGTCTGATCTGACCGAAATAAACTTCCTCTACTTTTCACGAGCGTTAATAATAAGGTTGCCTTGCTGATGCTCTGTTTTTGGTTCTATAGGGCTAGACTGGCTGGTGAGCTCACGTGGCTGTTAAAGTTCAGCATAAGCCAGAATATGTGAAGCCCTACGAGGAAGCAGAGATTGAGTATGTCAGCTGACGGTAGAGCTTTCACTCTGACACTGCATGCGATCAGCTCATTGACGTCTGACCTGCTATTATGTCAAATAGTGATTAATATAGTACGCTGTTGTTATTACCGGCGAAGTGACATGTCTTTATAGCACACCCGGATAGGGCAGAGTCTTCAGTTGGCAGCTGGCATTCATGCCTCGGGCACTAAACATAGCATCGAACTTCCGCAAGGGATGAGTAGTCTTGCCCAACTACTTAAATAACCTAGCAGACATACACATCTCATATTCAACTCTCATCTTTCACCTGCTAATTTCACATAGCTCTCATGTCCAAGGAGTTAGACGTTAAGCCATCGGAAGTTGAATTCCTCGACACGCTAAAGGAAAGCAAATACTCGGTAGTGTTCAAAGTGCGTTTTCAGGAAAAGCTATGCGTCATGAAAGTGGTAAGCCAGCACCCTCCATTAATATACTGCCTTCTCACTGAAAATTAAAGTATCACGATCGGGAGCCAAACGAATTTGACCCTCCCGACCGCATAGTTAACCTGTTCATCTCCGAATCCACCGCTTACCAACGACTAGAATCCAAAGGCCTATGCCAGAGGGGTGTCATCCCAAACTATTACGGGACAATCAGGAACATCCAACCGGCTGATTGGCCAAATCTCCACATGTTCCTTAACGACAAATTACCGCCAAATGCTGTCCTAATTGAGTATATTCCAAACCTGCAGCAGATTGATCTATCCAACTACTCACCGCAACGCCTGGCTAAACTCCGTGAGATTCTCGATGATATTCATGCAGCGGGGGTTCTTCATGCTGATCCAAAGCCGCGTAATATGATGGTTTCTCTAGCAGATGAGGAGAGGGTACTTTGGATCGACTTTGACTCTGCACAGACATTCACAGAGTTCGTTGATCTCTCGCCAAGACAACAAAAATGGTTCGATAACGAGAATGAGATGATGGATTATTTTGTTGATGCGTTGGTGAGGTTTTGTGGTTTCGTTGTTTACTGTTTTTGTTTGCTGACTGTGCAATAGGCGAAGGATTTCGATGAAGGAAAGCTGAATCGCACGATTTCGTATTATTATGAATGGTACGTGTAGCTAGAAAGGTTTCTACTTGGGTTACACTGGCAGTATGAGAATTTGTTGTTCTGAGCAGTATGTTGAATATATACACTGGGAGTATTCACGTTGCATGGTTGGTCTTTAGTACTATGTCAGTATCATCTTCCCGGTGGAACACAAGCATCGGAGATTCTAAATCTAATACTATATGGCCTTGCGATATTCCTCTGCTCCTGCAGCACGCTTATTTTACGAAAACAACAAACCGGCAAGATGAGGTAGTATGCTGTTTCGGAAACATACGGAATGGGTGTGTTTACCAGTATCACGTGCAGCACAACTCGGGCTATACCGGAAGTAACAAAGCGCATGCATACACTGAAACATGACACCTTGCAAGTAGTAATCGGGATATAATTAGTTACAGGGTAACTTCTTTGTCATTGATTCATTCATATCTTCTTCATTATATATGTCTTAGTAATTTCATCGCATCTCAATGAAACTGTGCTGTGTCCAGTCTGGCCAACGCTATGGGTATCAACAGAAAGAGTGCTATTTTTAGTAGTCGTGTGGTGGCCATTTCTCATGCAGCCCAGGCATCCTTCAGCACCTTCTGTCCCTGTGCCAGCGTCTTCGCGGGGACCTCGCCCAGCCATTGTGGCTCGAGACGATCAAGGTTCGCCTCGATCTCCCAGGCGCGGCCACCCTCGACGTACATCGAGGTGCCGTTGAGTGAGTCGTCCACGAGCACGCCAGCAGCCACCTGAGCCACCTGGAGAGGAGAGCTGACGGGAAGGCCCTCCTCCTCCCACCGGTCGCAGAGCTTCTTTGTTACAGCCGGGTGAGTCTGGGTCATCCAGGGGCAGATGGTGTTGATGCGGAGGTTGTGCTTGTAAGGGGAGATGAAGTAGGGGCGTAGGGAGCGCATCAGGCCTTGCACGCCGTGCTTGGCTGCTTGGTAAACAGAAACACCGGGGGTTTCCTTGAAACCTGCGGCGCAAGAGAATAATGTAATGGAGCGGTCTACTCCAGGGCCACGGTTATGGCGGAGGTAGGCACCAGCGAGACGAACGACGTAGAGGGTCCCAGTGAGGTTGACGTCAAGGTCTCTGGTGGATGGGGGCTTTTCATTGTTAGCAGAATCTCTCAGTAGGTAAGTTGTGAGGTAGCTTACTTCGCGCACAGCCTGGAGGCTTAGGGCATGGTCAAACCAGTTCTCCTTTGGTTCCATACTGCCAGCAGTAACAACGACATGATCAATGCGCTTGTAGGTCTTGAATGTGAAGTCAAAGAGATTAAGCACCGATTGGTAGTCCGTGATATCAGTCTCTTGGAAAGAGGAGCGCGGAGGCTTCGGGGGACCTGAGGGGTCCCAGTAGACAGGCCACTTATCACGGCACTTCCGGCTCAAGGGGGCACCGGCGGTAGAATCAATATCGCCAATGATCACGTAGGCGTTGTTCTCACAGCAAAGCTCTACAAGACTGGCGCCGATGCCATTGGCACCTCCTTTTGCAGGCATACGTTAGCATTGGCGATGTGAGAATAGCAAGACTCGTTTCGGGAGCCACGTACCCACAATGAGAACAACCTTTTCCTCCAAAGCTTCCCGAATGATGTCAGGATGGAATTGAGTGATAGGGGTGGCCGAATTGGAGGACTGAACAGGCTCAGTGGGGGCAATCATTGTGATAGGTTGGATAAGAAGAAGAGATAGTATGATACGAATTAGACTGGAGATGGAAGGATAGAAGCATGAATCGATGCCAACAGCTGGGGTTCGAAGGGCCTTTTATGCGGCACGACGGACGAATTGACTCCTAAGAGACCCGTCTTTAGCACGCCTCTCCCAACCTTGCAGGGGACGAGAACATGTGGTTTCAAGCCAATGAAGATACAGGAAGGAGAGCTGCTCGCATTTTGGGACTTCTGGGCCTGGTGGGGACTGTATCGGGAAAGTGTAACTGTCGATGAGAGAGCGGGATGAGATAGGCGGCGCAGCTGCACCAGAATCGGATTTCGTTGGACAATGCTGAGGGGAACTCCACCACAAGTGCTATTTTCTGCCTGCCAGACGTCTTATCCACAGTGGAACGACTGATCGGCGATTGCGGGGGGGGAGGATGAGGGAATCCGGGGAACATCTGGAAAAGTGGGTTTGTTGCTCAAGATGGAAATATATCGAAGAGAAGAATGGCAATAAGGATAGAAGTTGTGGATGGATAGGGAAAGTAAGGGGAAGAAGACGAACAGAAGAGAGAAGGTTAGACGATTCGGAGTGCCTGACAAAAGTCCCACTCGCTCTCCGTGGATCTCGAGTTTCCCCTCTCGGATGACCCCATTCCTATCCCCGTCTCCTCCCATTCATCCAAGCCATTCCGATGCTTGGTGCATGTACTCCTTACTATTTTCTAGTCACTACCGGGGTCACTGCCTGCGATGGGAATGAAAGATAACCACATACTGCAGTGTCTACGCCCCCTCCTCCTCACCACGGAACACGAAAATTCAGTCACCCCCCTTTACCACAATGGAGGATTCATGGATCAATATCCCCTCCAGCTGCTCAGCCGTCGTTGGTTAGCCTTCTGCAATCGGTTGGAATCCCGTCAGCCACCCTCTGCAAGCCCTGGCCAGTCAAGAACGATTCACAGTAGAGGTGGCTGAACTCCATGCCGAGCCGATAGAGAACAGCCAGCCACGGAGCGGCCAGTGCAACCTTGCACTGTAGCCTCGACAGTATTGGCGTCGGAGTATTGCACGGGTGTACTGCTCGAATCACTTGATTAGATGAATCGTAACCCGTTACGGTTACCGAGACAGTTGGAGGCCATTGAGGATAATATACATGATTGGTCGAGGGCGGATTTAGCAGGATGCCGAGACATCATCCCAGCAACGGCTGGCTATGCGTTCCATCCGAGGCTGATAGGCGGAGTGAGGGCCTATCACAGTAACAGGCAGGTATTGCGCGACACCACTGCCAGTGCTGCCACTTGGAAATGGCCCTCATTTAGCCTTTCATGTCATGGCACATCCTGTCGTGGCCTGTGCGCAATTAAGTTCCGTCTCACTTTACCTTTTGAAACGTGCAGCTCGCTTTCTAGGAGCTTACCCTCGACCACTGTACCGCCGATGTCTGCGCAATTGGACGAATTGATGGACTTCAATTACATCAAAACATACATGTGAAGCTAAAAGGTGCGAATGGTGATGCAAGAGGCTTGCCGAAGCAACTGTGGTAAGGTCAATGGGGAGGACTCTAGCCCAGTACAGCGCTAGGACTGATCACGGAAAAGCACCATCCGGGACTTAGTCGGGGTCTGCTAAGACCTTCATTTCCAGCCAGCAGCAGCTAATCCCGGACGGTCATCCCGCCGGATGGACCTTGCCTATCTTGTCCCATCTTGCAGCATCTGCGGACTACCGTACTCCGTCGGGGATACCTACATGTTGCTCTACGTTCACTTGAGTGCAGGGGCCGTTAAAAGATGGTAGTGATCGGAGAGGAGAATGAGGAGATCGATATGGAGGACGCAGTAGTGTGGGACTGGATCAGCCGAAGATTCCGATGGAATCGCATCGATACTTCGCCGCCTGTACTTTTTCTCGTGGTTCCCCACTGGCTCCACTAGGCAATTGCAAGTACACAGCATGGCAAGCAGACAACAGCATTGTGCTCAAACCCCTCGCAGACCTTCTGGATGAAGATCGATCGGCTTAAGCATTAAACATTTGCCACCCCCAGATCTGTCCAAGTTGATCCTTTCAATGGTCGGTTATGGTAGCCGAAAGTGGGTTACGGAGTATACTGTTAGACAGTTGATAAAGGGGGGCTAGAGGGATGAGGTCTGTTGTTTCGATCTCTAGAGCAAACAACTGACCAGTTTGGAGCCGCCGAAATGGGCTGTCGTCGGGTCATTGATAGGCTAGCTATTGGGCTAGAGAGCATAGCCCGACAGAGACTAAATTACAAGCCGATGGCTCTCCATTTAAAGCCTGATAATATCAACCTAAACCGTCGAGTGTCATATGGCCAGCCAGATGGATGTTGCGGATATATGTGCCCGGTCAGTAGCATCTCACGATCTTATGGTGCTATGAGCTCTGTACCTAGAAGTTCTGGTAGTGTCGCACAACCTCGCGACCGGCAGATAGGCCATTTAGTTTAAGTATTCATTACTTAATGAACGATCGACCACAGTGACAATATGAGTGGCTTGTCCTTGCGTATTATTTGATGCCTCAGGCAACAAATAGGGGTAATAAACATGGCCGTTCGCCGATCGGGCCATCGGCGATCCTTGAGTTACCGCCTTAGGTGTGTCCAGAAATTCTTCATAGAGCACATCCAACTTTCTAAGCATGAAGCCTGGACCCTGTTGCTTATGAAGATGTGATCCATGGTAGAGACCTGCCAGAAGCAGGCAGCCGATAGGGTTACATGATGGCATGGTCTACGTCACCACCCGAGCATCCAGACCCTGCCGGTTTATAAATGAATTAACCATGTACAACCCTGGATGACATATGCTGGATCTAATGGCAACTGCTTTAAAAATGAACGGCTTGTCAAGGTGCTTGGGAAGACAAATCACACAACACGCGAAAACACCTTTCTTCAGGAAGTGCAATACGACCCCACTACGTCTTTCTGGCGTTCATCTCCGAAGATACTCAGACCAGAGCTCAAAATACAACGGCAACATGACTACTCAGCCTCCCAAGAACGAGATGGTGTACATGCCAGGGGTGATGTCACCGAGTCGATCGTTTGGAGTATTCCGTAAGGTCCTTCACACTGGTCTGTATTCGCAATTTGTGGCGATGGAAGTCCCGGTCAACGGCGAAATTGGTGACGAGGTAAGCTATTCTTCCCACGAACGACTATTGTGTTTTATGAAAAAAATTAACCATGACTTCCAGATTCATACCGTCGATCAAGTGCTGATATTCACCCATGGCACTGGCAAGGCAATTGTTGCTGGGAAGGAACAAGAGGTCAAACAGAACGATGTCGTCATAGTCCCAGCTGGCACTCAACACCAGTTTTTGAATATCGGAAATACGCCACTTGAAGTAGTCACCATATACTCCCCGGCTGAACATGACCCGCGTACAGTACATCAGACCAAGGCAGAGGGCGATGCACAGGAAGAGGCTGGCGAGGATGAAGCACCAGAGTGGAGTCAACGGAGCAAGTCGGAGAACGAGAAGATTGGGCTGGTCAAGCCGCCATAAGCAGGGAATGGTATATATTCAAACGATCAGTCAGATGTAGCTACCCGGAGTCTATGATCTTGTGAACAATTGGCCGAGATGATTGTAAGACACGGTGCCACGTCGACATCAGCGTAGTCAGACGGAGCCTAAACAGTTCTAATCGAAATCGATCCACTACCTTGGAGTTCCAGAGCCTGATATAGGGGCTGAGTTTGAATATTATCTGATGCTGGAGTCGCCGAGAATCCGGGTCGGTAATCATAGACGTAGACAATGCTGGTATTTTTTTTTTTTTTCAGAATACCAATACAAATTGTATGTTCTGGTAGGGACCGTTTGGGGCTTTACAAATATTGGAAGTGTCTGTTCAGCCGCTACTGTGCTAATCTCAAGCTTCTACAACGGAAAAGAAGAAAGAGGATTTAGTTGGTCGGATTTTGATTCCATTGGGCGTCTAGGATGATCATTGAAAGATGAAGTTCTCACTTCTTTTTCTGACTCCCCTGGCTTGGCATTTTGAAAACGAATTAGGAAGAATGAACAAAGAAAAGCAATTCTCTGCCCTAAGCAAAGAAGAAAAGATAAAATGAAAGGAGAAGAAAGCAAAAAGAAATGATTGCGCCTGTGAATTACTGTGCACCCCAGGGCCGGTATTTGATGCTTTCAAGCAACCCAAAGAACGGTATACAGTTCTCTTTGCCAATGTGGCGTCCTATAATATTCCTTAAACTGTCTCGGAGGCCTAATCATGCTGGTCATCAATACGAGATTATTCAGTGTCTCTATCTGAACGAAAGCTATTCGAGCCTTGACATGGCGTAATAGCCCCGACTATCAAAGACAATGATCTTCCGCTCTCTTTGTTCGTTCAGATAACGTAGTACCACGACGCTGCGCTTTAATCTTCAATGACATACCGATACATAAGGGAGGCCCTTAAATTGCACAATCTTGTTTCTCTATTCCGCATGCTATTCTGGATCGATATAGAACCGCGTTTGCTTACGGGAGCAGAAAGAAGAAGTCTTCTGGGCTACACGGTGTTAAACTCCCCCATACTTCCCACCTTTTCTTCCCAGCTTTTCCCCTCATTGGACGCCCGGCTTTCGCTCAACTAGTACCCTCCACGACGAATTCTTTGGGCCTTGGTCCGTCATTTTCAACTCTCACTAAGACTTACTCAGAGGAGTACTTGCGCAAAGTGAATATGGCAGAAGAACAGAGGTAAGTCGTGCGAATCGCTCAGGTGAGCTTGGGGCAAATTTTAACTTGAGTATGTCGAATCCAAAAGGAGGCTCGAAGCCCTAGTTAGGAGTTTGGAGGAACGTGAGAGGTATGTGGATATGAATAGTCGACTTGAGAATGTAGGGTTGGGGTCTGACAAACACATTAGGGCCATTGAAGATGAACGAAGAGCCCTTGAAGCGGAACGAACAGCCCTTGAAGAGAAAGCGAGAGCGGATGAAGAAAAGAGCAGGCATCGCGACGAGTTACTCCGAGACACGACGTTTATCGAATTGATTCGACAATGCCATGAGTCTCTTTCGAAGTCCATGACACTCGGAACCAAGTCTAAATGTACAAGAGGGCCACCACATGAGGCCACTGGCAAGGTCTGCCCGGATCGATTCGAGCACTGGTCAGAGTTTTCGCGCAAGCAGGATGATATATATAGTGCTGTTTGCAAATTTCTCGAGCCAACTGACAATGATGAAAAGCGCCTCTTTGATTCGATAGATTCCATCGAAGTCTCTGGGAAACATATAAAAAAGAATGAGATAACTAGTGAAAAGGATATAGAACTCTTTGAGCGCTTTGCGGTGGAAAACCATGTTGTCAGCATTATTGCCGAGCTCAGCAAAATCCCTGCTGCCCGTGAATATTTCCACTTGAACTTTGAGGGTATCAAATACATGAACCACCTTTCCAATCTCAGATCATTCATGAAGGTTCTATGTAAGGAGAGAGGAGTTACACTGCCGATCACTTCCAAACCTGACTCGGTCTGCCTATGGTACGATGAGGAGGGAGAAAGGCTAGTCTTGACAGGGGAATACAAACCGCCCCACAAGTTACCCATGGATACCCTTCGCGCAGGCTTGAGGACGCATAACTTCTACGAGGAAATTGTTGGGAGCCATACTATCCCAACGGAAGAAACAGAAAGGATGAAATATAAGGCAGCCCGCCTGGCAGGCTCGGCGATAGTCCAGGAATATCATACAATGATATTGCTAGGGCTGGAGTACGGGTATGTGACCACTGGTTTGGGGATAGTTCTCCTGCGGGTACCTTACGACAACCCACAAACTCTGCAATTCCACCTTTGCGAGCCCCATATGGAGGTCGATCAAGGGGGTGACAAGTGGTTCTTACGGCCTTTGACCGCCATTGCACGAGTGCTATGTTTAACACTTATGGGCTTTGGATCGCAGCCCCGTGGCGTTGAATGGTCCGCTAAGACAAAGCCCACGCTGGAAACCTGGATCACAAGTTTTGACTTGACGTATATCAGTCAAAACAAAGGGGAAAAAGCACCAAGTGATCCTTCAGACAAAACATTCATCCCCCCCAGAAAGAGCAAAGTTGCGGCATCCGCAGGAAGAGGCAAAACTACCCGTTCACGAGCTCGCTGCAGCGAAAACCACATGAAATCCAAGCGAGAGGATACAACAGACCCTGATGCCGACTCAGCCCCAGGACAAAAACGTCGCTTGATGGATACCATATCTTCTGCATTACCTGCCACTGAGAAACGCTCAAAGCGTCCCAAATATGCAGGAGGTGGATCCAAGAGTCGCCAGCGTCAGAGCCTACCATTCTGCACGCAAAATTGCCTCCGTGGCTTAAAAAGACGTGGCAAACTGGACAAAAATTGTCCAAACTTCAAGCTTCACCAGGAGAATGGGTCAACCCATCACCGTACAAACACCCGTGGGTTGGCCAAGTTGATCAAGGCTGCAATAGATGAGTGTCTTGACCGTGCAGAACCGATGGGAGGCTGCGGCCTGTCTGGTGCACCGTTTAAACTCACCTGCGTCAGGTATGGATATACCATTGTTGGCAAAGGTACCACCTGCTACCTTTGGCCCCAGTTGGAATATGAAGCCGATATTTACCGAATGCTTGAGCCTGTGCAGGGATTCGCAGTCCCAGTATATATCGGAAAGATTGACTTGCGCAGGATGTACTTCCTTCTCGGGGCGGGGCCTATCAGACACATGCTACTCATGGGATGGGGTGGAGAGAGTATTGACGAGGTCGAGATTGACAGCCAAATTCTACGACAAAGTGTAACTGAGTCCGCTAAAGATATCCAGTCTCTTGGCGTTCAACACCAAGACCTTGGATCAGGCAATATTCTCTGGAACTCGGAGCTGAGTCGGGCCATGATTATTGACTTTCATTTGTGCACATTCGGCATGGAATTGGTCAGAAAGAAGCCAACGTGGCTCACTAACGAGAACTCCCAAATGGAAATGATCGAGAATGATCAGGAGCGCCGGCATTGTGAATACCATGGCGTATGCCTTCATCCCCCAGATGGAAAATGTCCAAACGTATTGTTGGACATATATTAATACCACCTCTACCAGCAGCATATGGGTCTCCTCTACTAGAGTTCATGTGGAAGAGAATTAGGATTATCCGAATACCTGGTCGTATGTCACTACGCGGAATTGTCGGGAGTTGGCTTGCTTTGACTCCCTCTTTAAATGAGAGAAACAAAATGAATGAACGGCTTCCATTGTCGTACTGCGGAAGTCCAGTTTTGGCTTCACAACATGTCTTGTTACTTTGAGACAATCGTATTCTTTTTTTATTTTTCCCCCTCCTCCTTGGTAAATATTAAATAGCTGTTGGATATACAATCAGAATGCTTTTTCTAACCTCATTGTTCGAAGAAAAAAGGGGAGTGTAACCATTCCCACCCTAGTCATTTCTCGTGCCTCAACATCAGCCCCCATCACCTGCCCCTTCCTCTGTTACCAACGTCGAAATTTAGCGAGTGCCTAATAACGTCCCAACTTAGCCTAGTCCATAAGAATCCTACTCTTGTCGACAGTAATAATCCCCGGGAAGTCTCTCTCCCCGGCTTTTCTCCGGACGATTCAGACCCGCGGGGTACCGCGCAAATAGTACTGATTGGCCCGAACAAGAACCAACTGGAGCCCTCCGCATTCGGCTCGACCCGCCTATGCGGAGGAATGAGCCAATGGACACTACAAACAATTCGTACTCGGGATATTAGGGGTCTGGGCGCGAAGGTGTGGTTGGTAGAAATGCAGCCTGATGACGAGGCGGTAGCTCGGGATTACTCTTTTTTGCTTACTGCTTTTTTTTTTTTTTTTTTTCAAAGAGAGGTGGGGGAATATAGCCTAAGTGGATTGGTCTGATTAAGTACTACACTGCATTATTTCCTTGGAATTACGGCTAAAGAGGGGTGATCGATCTGAGTAATTAGCAGCCAATCGTGCATTGTTTGCTCCTTTATGGCTGGCTAGCTTCCAGCCATTCCGGATACCTGGGCCTTTCCTTCTGTCTGTCTTTCTCTCCCCTTTAGTATTAGGTTCATCCATCCCCATTTGATATGATACTGTTTGCTCCACCACATGCGGTTGGCTTACGCCGAGGGAGGAGCCAGGGCCACATTGTCCGCATGGACCGCCTTCTCGGGAATCTTCTCGGTAGATTCAATCATCTCGCCCTGAAGCAGTGCCGTCAAGCCGATCTCGCGATCAATTTGTTGTCGGAGCGCCTCGTCTTCGGCTGCCATGCCCTCAGAGCCGAATAGTTCGTCCATCTCTTCCAGTGTGCGCCCCTTGGTTTCGGGAACGAAGAACCACACGTAGACCGCTCCGACTACGGTGATGCAGCCGAAGAAGATGAAGGTGCCGTAGGTGGAGGCAGCGATGAAGGGGGAGGTGGCTAGACCGACACCGAAGTTGTTGAGCTGGGAGTAGTCAGAATTAGTGTTTCTTGGAAAGAAGTGGTACTGGATCACTTACCCAGTTGCTGCTACCGCCGATACTGACGCCCTTGGCACGCATGCTGAGCGGGAAAACTTCGGATACCACGATCCACGCGCACGGACCTGTTTGAAATAGTAAGCATTACTGTCGATGAGAGCGGGTTATTGATCGGATATCACGTACCCCATGAGTAGGCAAAGTTAATGATGAAGATCCACACGAATGCGACTGTCGCCCATCCTGCGCTCTTGTGCTCTCCGAATGTCCCCTCGTAGGAGCCAATGAGACCCGCGCAGATGAAATGGCAGACCGCCATACCAATCGCACCAGCAAGCAGGATCTTCTTACGACCGATGTTGTCGACCCAGAGAACGGCCGGGATCGTGAAGACAAACTCGAAAATACCCGCAACACCGGTAGCCAAGAGGGATGTCGTATTTCCTCCCAATTCAAGGCCTTCGAAGACTTGAGGCGCGTAGTAGTTAATGGCATTGATTCCGTTCCATTGTTGGAAAAGCATGATCAAGCACTAAAGACGTCAGTAATGAAGTCTGTGAAGTTGGGGATAGGTCCTAGCATACCGCAACGCTGGTCCGCTTGAACAGCGATGGGTTTGTGATGAGCGAAAGGTAGTCGTGGAACCCAATCATAAAGTTACTCTTGAACGATCCATCCTGATATTGAGGGTACTTCTTCTTGGCTGTTTCCTCCTCAAACATCTTGAGCGACTTAATCTCCAAGTACTCGATGCGAACCAGAATGTCGTCGGTGGGGGCATCGCGAAGTCGGGCAAGAGTCTGAAGACATTCCTCGTCCCGTCCCTGGTTCATCAGATGACGAGGCGACTGAGGCATGAACAGAACCATTCCTGCAGCGAGGATTAGGGCCGGAAGGACTTGAATGCAAACAGGAATCTCCCAGGCCGCAATGGACTGGCCATCACCCGTCCCGCCAATGTAGTTGGTGCCATAGCCAATCTGTCATAGTTAGCTTTTGACTCCAAAAGATATAGATAGTATAACATACCCAGAAGCTGACCATGATACCGAATGTAATAGACAGCTGCTGCACGGCGACTAGAGAGCCACGAATTTCGGGGGGAGCCTAAATCGTCAACACCCGTACATGTACCGGAAAGGCGCTGCGACGTACCAGCTCTGCGTTATACAGAGGAACAATCATACTCAGATTACCCACTCCCAGACCGGTAACGAACCGACCGGCAAAAACGTAACCAGCATTTTTTGTACAAGCCTGGACAATCACGCCAACGCAGAAGATGACCACGGCGACAACGACAGTTTGACGACGACCCATGGCATCGGCGAGATAACCGTTCAATAGTGTACCGACCCACGCTCCCAATTCCAGAATGGATGTAAGCATACCCTGCTTAAGACCGGTTCGCGCTGCATATCCGTCGGTCTTTACATGTTAGTGTGAGTGTTAGACGAGGTGAAGAGATGGCATACCGCTTTGATGAAGGAGTTCATGGTAAGAATTTCGGAGAACATTCCCTGGTTGTCTTTCAAGCCCGTTAGCCAGGTTTTGTTGTCAATGAGCCATATCAAACCTACATCCATAGACGAAACCACCCAGCGACGCGAAAAGCGCAATCGCAAAAGTCTTCTTGCTGCTCAGGAGCCCACGCCATCCGACGCGATTGCCGGCGAGCTCAGCACGCTTGCCGGACACGGCCTCAGCGCCCGCACCCATACCCATATTGAAGGATGATATGGACAGTCACGGTACAAACCCTGCAGACGACCGATGATATAAACGGAGAACAGTGTAATTCACAAGATATGTGAGTGACAGAAAGTAAGAGAACGAAGACCAACGATCGTCATCTCGCGGGGAGCATGCGACATAAAAACAACCGGACCAGGACGCAACGCCTGTCATTCGTCCCGTATAGCTATAGCTGCAGCATCATCCTTTCCTCGACTGCTGTTATTTTTTTTTGTTTAGGCTATTCCAATTCGAAACTAGATCAATGTCGCTACTGGCCGACATCGATGTCATGCAATTTTACGAAGTTTGTCCCATAGCCCCATGATTGGGCATTCAATTTAGCCAGACTTCATCCATCGGTGCCAGGCTAGCTAGGTCCGGTAAGGCGTGCTACAATCCTTTTACCCCAAGGATGCGATTCATCCCCGTGGGGCCAGTCGGATGCCATGGGGGCTATGATTAGGCATGGTTTGTCATCGGCGCGCAGGTTCGGCATTGTGGAGGTCGGATTGGATTATATCCGCCGGTTGGATACAAGCTTCGTGGCGGGCGGCCTGGCAATGGCTACGCCTGGCGGTGCTTGGCAAGCGCTAGCCGGGTGACACGGTTGAACGATGACATCAAGTACGTAGGTTAGGACAGAATGGATATCGTGAAATGGTACGAAAGCAGCCAGTGGATTTTGCGGGGATGGGAGGAAAGAGGGGAACCATGGTAAGGGCGAAGGGGCACGACCACCACTGTCAATAGAAAAAGCGGAGGTAGAATATGGGGGAATGCACAAGACGGATCTGGACAGCAGAAGAGAGACCAGACCATTCTCTGACAGGCAATGATGATCAGATTTAGCCGGATTTCCCCTACAACCACCAAACTTGCAGCCATCAGGCCGGCACAACAGCCGGAAGTCAGCCCATGGTTAGGACAGCCTCTTTTCCTCACTGGCTGGTCATGAAAATATCCATCGATCGTTAGGCTCTGTTCTTAGACCACTGAGACGATGTCTGATCACTGGGTTTGCCACGAGTTGAGCTTCTGCGACACGTGGAATGTCACCTCGTTACTAGACTACTAACAGCCCATCCAGTGTCTAACGCTAAAAGCCCCTTGCGTCTCACACTCTGCGCTGGCGTATGCCGGCCACCCAACCGATCAGCGCCTGATTCCGCTCGGTCGCACTTGCGGATTGTACTGCCGTGATTTCCGCTTCGCAGTCTGCTGCTTGCACGAGCCGGCATCCTTCGCGCGACAGATGGCTCGGGCCACCGTCGAGAGAATCGGGGTTGCCAGGATATGAGACCACCGACCTCCTGGTCCCGGCCTTTCCAGGTATTCAAGTCCGAAGCAAACAGCTGGTCGTGCCGTCAGCCGGGCCCACTTGTGACTCACGCGCCTTCCTTGACTTGGGGTAACATTCAAGCAAGCCGGATCCATGGATTTTTCTATTGAGTTGGTGGTCAGATTGCGAGAGATGCATGCGATACATGTTTAGATAGCGGAATAGTCGAGGTCACGGTGCCATGGGGAAAGAGGGGGTCAGCTTGGGGATCCCCACGGGGATGCCGGTGAGTGAACACAGTTTAGGTAGCCTCGGTTACCCTCCGAGAAGGATACAAGCGAGTCCCGGCTGCGATCATTCGCTTTTGGCGTCTCCGCTGCTTTAGGGCATTTCATTCGCCCAGTACCATGCAAAGGAAGGTGAGACGGAGAGGACGGGAGTGTCGATGTTGGTCCGTTGTGAGAACGGTTGGCCTGATTTGACTTGCGGCTCCCTCCACTCACTCTCAACACCATCAGTTTTGGCGTCATGCTTCTGGCACCATCTGCTAGTTCACTTCTTTATTAAAAGACATTGAGTATTGATACCAGTCACTGGGTGCCCCACCAAGGAGTATTGGTCAGGTTCGAGGCAATAAAATCTTCCAGTATTAGCATCCAGTACGCCTGAATAGTATGGTCTCGAAATAGATACGAGCGCGCAAGAATATCGTAGGAACAGAGGTGTAATACCTGTTCTTTGTCCTTCACCGACTTACACTGAAACAATTATCTTCCACAAAGTCACATCGTTTTTGTCGCATCTTCCTTCATAAGGAGGAGTAACTGCTAGTCACCGCCGGGTTGAGAGGGTTTTCCCACTGCGGGTTTCCCTTCCCGGCCGATGCCCGCAGCACAACACAGTGAATAGCGAAAATGTGCAAATGCTGTTCCGACTAGCTAGCTTGACCCTAATCTCATTTACAAGAGATCTCTCCGTGTACGTCATCAGCAGAAGCTGAAATGCCTAGAGTTTTCATTAGGGGGTGTATATTCTCGCTCGGGCATATTACTAGCGTACCAACCTCCCCACTACAACGTCCCGACAATACTAGTTCTAATGGCACTGGCCCTGCCATTTAGTACTTACTCCTGGCCTATTACAGCATAGATCTATATGGTTCCACCAAGGTTACACCATACCAATCTCCTGTCCTCGGACTTAAGAAGGAGGGTGATTACAGTTCGACTTGCATGCAATGAAATTAGTCTGTGCACCATAGTCACATCAAGCTCATTCCATCGGAGCTGACAATGAATCCGGAACCAATGCAGTCTATGCTAGTTCATTTCATGGTATAGTTTGCGAGGCCGGCTTATGCCCGATATTGTAGCGATCAGCGGCCCAAGCACCTTACCAGCAGTGACAGGAAGCAACTGGCACCGGAAATTGTCTTAAGCGTATAATTCCACACTACGTTCTCCGGAACCTCTCTTACTGCTACATTGTGACGCTATTCAACTAATATCAACTATTTTACTAGATCAGCATTTAGCACAGGAAATATATGAGAAATTAAATGGGATCATGTCTGGAAGGATACAGCCTAAGCCAACAAAAATATTCAACTTCCAAGTATATCACTGCTTTTCAATAAATTTTCCTTTGGGCAACCATTATTTCTATACATCATTGACGCACCAATGTTAGATCATGTGTCTGTGCCACGGGGAGGAATAGTGACACAACAAGAAGCTATGGTAGTCCCCTGCTATCTCTGCAGCAAGTTCCCATCGAAGTCATATTTACGAGGCCAAGCAGCTGCCCATGAATTCCGAACGGAGAGCGAACCACGTGTTTGATGGCTTCCATACGCCGATCTCCTGATTGTCCGGACCACATTGGCGACACAAACCAGGTTACTGGCAGTGGACTGGCGTGGTAACGGCAGTGATTCCGGTCATCAGATGCATCATGTATTTTTCAGATCTTCTGAGATACAGTCAGGTGCAGTGCGGGTGTTGTCACAGCTACATGGTCCTCTGAAGGTAGGATGGACCGAACGGAGGTGATGTTGTTATATGGTAGTCATTCGCTGAGAAACGACAGTCTGAGGGTAGATAAGAAACCGTGTATCTGAGCTACTAGTTCATTCCCCCACAGCAAGGTACATGACATCGAGCCATACGTTTCATTTGCTGAATTATAAGACTACACGAATTGTTAAGGTGCTGACCGCTAGTAGTAAGCTGTCAAGGAATGGATATCACGCCCTAGCCGTACGCAATTTCCTAATACGGCAACAGATAGCCTACAACCCACATCAAAAGCTAAATGTTCGCAACATATGGATCATGAATGCTTTTGATGCTATTCTGATCGCTATACAACTTCATCTTTATCAAGTAGTGGTGTTTCACCTCATCGGCATGATAGTTAAGCTTCCCGTGAGCGCCGACCCGGCACACATGGTTACCCGTATCGACAGGGATGTTGATAGCTGGAAATGCCAACTAACAAACACCAGTTCAACCCCAGCAAATGCAAGCCAATTGCATCCAAGCTATAAGCGCCCTCAAGTCAACAAAAGCCTCAACAGCAATTGTCGCGACGTTTCAAAATTGCCATCCGGTTTCCCACCATGAGAGAACCTCTATCCCTGAGAGACAGACACCATCCAGGCCGGACCTAGAAACCTTCAGTCATCATGCCCAAATACGCCGTCCTAGGCTCAACCGGCAACTGCGGCACCGCGCTCCTCAAGATCCTCATGATGCGACCGGACGCACACATCAACGCATACTGCCGCGACAAAGCGAAGCTTTTACGTCTCATGCCCGAGTCCATTGAGAATGAAGACAAGATAACCATATTCGAAGGCAGCATACACGATGAAAAGCTTCTGGGTGCTTGTATGTACGACTGCTGCGCCGTTTTCCTTGTCGTTTCCACAAACGGCAACCTCCCAGGCTGTCGACTCGGACAGGACACGGCCACGACAGTCATTCAGGCCCTACAATCCCTGAATCAAGCACCAAAAATTGTGTTACTCTCGTCTGCTACATTGGATGAGCAGTTATCGCGCAATGTTCCGGTCCTACTTAAGAATGTTCTACTTCGCTCCGCCTCGTGCGTGTATGACGATCTTGTTAGAAGGGAACGTATTCTGCGCAAGGAAGCGGCGTGGTTGACTACTATCTTCGTCAAGCCCGGCGCACTGTCGGTGGATGTACAGCGCGGTCATGCGCTGAGCTTCACTGAGGAGAATGGCCCGCTGTCGTATTTGGATCTGGCGGCTGGGATGGTTGAGGCGGTGGATGGTCCGGATGGACGCTATGATATGCGCAATGTTTGTGTTGTAAATACGAACGGAAGGGCAAAGTTCCCGTGGGGTACACCTATTTGTATTTTTATGGGGCTGCTGAGGCATTACTTTCCGTTTTTGCATCCGTATTTGCCGTCTACGGGGCCTGCTTAGTACATAGATCATACTGGGGCCGTTGGAGGTTGGTTATGATTAACGCAAGAGATCTTAGGTTTGAAAAATATAGAGGCATATTAACGAATACGTCACCGACGACCATAGTCATAAATCATCGCATATCATAAGTCCCAACTATACCCACAATGATAGACGCACCAGCCATCCACCAACTCGCGACACCAAAAGCACCCGAAATATCCTGCTTGAAAACAGTCCACAGTACCCCGAAAAGCAGACTAGGAGGGAAGAAGCCCAATGCGAGAATCCACCAAATCTTCGCCCAGTTCCAGTCTTCCTTGTAAAAAATACCCCATGCCTCGGTGGGATTTATGTACTTATTCTGCAGCTTCCCACATGCCCGTTTCGGAAGTTGTTGAACAATCAAGATGCTATTTGGGGCAATGTACTGGGGGTTGTTGAAGAAGTCCATCATGAGTCGTGGGCCGATAGGTGGGGAAAGCTTTGGAGGAATTGGACGACAGTCGTATTCCTTTCCCTTAGGGAGGACAAGTTGCTCGGGAGGCACGCAGACACAAGGTCTTCCCGTTTCGCAAATTTCTTCGTGGCATCGAACATCGATGTAGCGGCTTCCGCCATAGGCAAACTGGTGCGTGGTAAGCATATGTGGGGTGTCGGGGAAGGTCTGCTTACCTTCATAAAATGAATACTATGCAGGGTTTTCAGAGACCATATGGGTCTTAGTCGTCCTCGGTGCTCATGGTAGATACGGCGTAGTGTGTAGAACAACTGCCTATCATCTGCTACGCCTATGATAGACTCTTGGCGAAGCTCTACTGCATATCTGCCTCTTTCAAGACATGACAGGAGAAGTGGAGGATGAGAGACAATTTCACCCAGTTCAACATCCGTTTGGCTGTTGCTAGTGGGTATAACATTCGAGCCTTGTAACTGATCCGTGAAATCACTCGAGGGAGAGTGTTGCGTCTGTGATGCGCTCGAAGTTGAATTACAGGAAGAGGTGGAGCTTGTTGGGACTTGCTGGCTACCACCACTCATATCAGCAGTTGTGACATATGCTGATGACCTCAAGAATGCCTTCATATCTTCCAAAGCACCTGGCACATGCTCAACATAATCATCATAAAGCCATTTACCCCGACCCTATGAGATGTCAATCGCGAAAGACACCGGCTTGTGGTTATAGGTGTTGCTTACTCACATTCTTCCATCTGATCCGTGTGTAGCCTCGTCGAGTGTCGCTTTCTCTTAGGCCGATACGAGACAGAATTGTCAGTGTTCTGTGGTAGGTCTTGGATAGCAAAGATGTAGTAGATGATGGGCCTTCAGGTGAGGTTTCAGCAGTCATGCTCTGCACTTCCGGAGCATTGCCAATGTATTCCTTCGGCGTTACAGCAGTCAAGGGGACTTCATCTTCCACCGAACGCAATATGTCTTGCGTCGGGTTGGGTTCGCCTTCCAGCGGCCGATTCAAAGCTATTAATCTTTCCGTTAATCGCCTTGAATGAACCCCAATATCTGAGAATTGACTGTCTGAGAAGATATAATCATAAGCTTGCAGTTGACGGATAAACTGAAGTTCTCTCCTCGTTCTCCACTGCCGGAGTGCTTCTAAATTGTTCCTCAGGCTGTAGGGGCTTCTGGCCTGTCGAGGCTCGGCGTATACCGTACTTGCGACGCTATTTTACGTCAGGCATATATGTCAGACTGAAGAAATAATTTCACGAATACTCGCTTTTCTTCGATGGAAGGGCCTGTGGCCGTCTCTGCAACCCGAAATTCGGACACATCGCTTGGATTTGGGAACATGGTCTGGAGTGACAACCAATATGGTGACGTTCTCAATCTGGAAGGCGCTGTTGGCTAAGTATTAGACCAATCAATCGCGAAATTGAAAGCTAGACTAGCACTGCTCAGAAATTGGTGCAAATTAAGGAGAATTGGTTGTTTAAAACACTTCGGCATACTCAAAAGTGAAGAAAGAGTTGTGAAAATGAAAATGAGGGATAATCGCAAGAAATAGATGAAGGTGGGTGTTGATTGGGCTGCATCGAGGCGGTGCTTGGACAGCTACTCATCCTCGCCCAATAATCGTCCATGTACAATGTGGCGGAGCGCCCACAGGGAAAGGTGAACATTACATGGGTCAGCCTGGTAGTCAATCCGCAAAATGCATCAGAAAATTGGTCAAGATGGCCGGTCAGTCTATGTCGCTCATAATCCTACAGACTTTTCTGACCCCTCCCGCTTTTCCAATCCGGGATACCGCCATTTAGACCACCCATAAGTAACCAAATGTTTGAATATAAAGTACGCAATATTAGTTACGTGAGCCTCTACGTGGGAGGCGACGTATGGTGGCCCGAATAAGGTGTTTTTTATGATGGTAGGTTTCTGGATAGACTCTACATTCATTAGGCTGGTAAGGAGATGTCTCAAAATCAGGCGTCTTTATCAAAACGTCCCGGTGGAGGGCGATGCACTGGCTTCCCTGGTTAGCCCCGCTGTAACTTGCTCACTATGTTCCACAGATTTCGCAGCAGAACAACTGCAAGGAAGGTCCTCAGTCTCCATATCAACATCCATTATGTTATCACCCAGTGTTGAGCTAGTCGAGAGCTCAGTATCATTCAACTGTGCCTGACCTTGAGCCACTAGCTGACTAGAAGGAATGGGACTGGTCGATGCATCGCCGAGGTCACTGTCCAGATCAGAGGCGGTCATAATTCTGCGTTCTTTTAGGAACTCATACACGCACATGAGGTCGTAGAGCGTATACTCTTGCCCTTCGGGAAAATATGGGTTCGAATCCTGCTTTATGTTAGCAATCTCAATGCTGACGATCATGTTAACCTTACATTGTCTGATCTGACGAGCATATACTCAGGGGGCAAGTCGCTCTCAGCTAGTCCTAGACTTGCAAGCATCGCCAATATCCGCCGGTACATGCCGTCTCCTTCTGCTTGGTTTTCCATTGTGCCGGATGAAGTAATGCTGATGTACGTATGAGCGAAAATGCCTCTCGTCTTAGCCACGTACATACTACCAGGTTGCATAGGAGATCAGGCGGTTCTTATATAGAGTGCTGTTCTCGTATCCGATGTTCAATAGTTCGAGATATTTTTATTACTTCAATTCCTGTCCACAAATAGCCCAACAAATTTGTTATTGGGACTTTTTGTTCCATGATGGGAGTATGAACCGGAGATTCCCGAATATGCAGTGATTCGACTGATTTTGACCCGATGAACAACGCCACAGCCCCTGAGCGTAGTAATAGACTGGAAGTTTATATTCCATATTCAATAAATTAAAAGCTGGGATTCTACGCAATGAGAGAAGAGGTACTGTATTGTTGGATGGCGGTATCCTACGTGTTGGCAACTCCGTGGTAAATGACGTGAGATTGAATGATTTCATTGTTAATAATATCTTCGGCCTATTCCTTACATGTAGTTTATATTACCTACAATCCTCAAATGCATAAGTTTATGCAAATTCAATACACTGTATGCCGTACTAGCTTATTCATGATGGGTAAGGTAATCATCATTCTTTCATTCGCGAGCGACCATTTGACAAGGTAAACCGTTGAATTATCCAATGCCGTTGGACAACTCAGAGCCTTGTTACGGCTACATAATAGAAATATCACGAGTGTTACTCTGTAGTCATTGATAAGAACGAACTGGGTATTGTTTGGACAGTATGTTCTCTAAAAGCAGCATCTAAAAACCTTTCCTTCGAATATTGTCACACAGAAACGGCGATGTTCTTGCTCAATCCAAACTTCCGATGCATGTAATATGCATCATGCCGTGTGTGATCAACTTTGTACTACTTTTAAGCATTCATGCCGTCCATGACACCTTTATTACTACTCGTACTGCAACCGTTGTTTTCTCCATCCCCGGATAATAACATTTTGAGCGAGTCATGTGCAAAATCATTCTCATTCTCGAGCTACACAGCAAGTTTTTTGGACACAAAACCCCTCAAAACCTATTCACTATCCGTATATCCGATGCAGTACAGCCCAGGCCTAGCGCCTCACCCTCACAGACGCATTCCCGGCAGCGGAACTACCCATAACACTACCAACAAACACATTGAAATTATAATACTTGCTCCGATCGGCCACATCCAAACCACCCTTCCCACTCAGAATAACATGTCCATTCCGACTAACCTGGAACGTCTGCGCGCCTATTCCCATCGTCACATTCGTTGTCACAATGCCAGCGGGCACGTCAACCTTGACAGGACCGTTCGACCCGCTTGTCACTGTCAATGTAGCAGGACTTGTCAACATTGTCGCTACAAATATACTATCACTAAGCATCTGGAATCCATTTGGCGCAGGCATATTATCCTCGGGGCAGTTTACCCCCTTTGGCGTGGGCCGATACCAATACACCAGCCCTTCCTGAGTGATGATGGGCTTGCTATCCCCAGCTTTGTATGCGGCGATGTAAGGTTTATAGAGGTCGCGCCAGGCGTCATGTGGCATGCCCTTGGCCCATTTTGAAGAGCCATCGTCGCTGTGGTTGGCGCTGTAGGGGCCGATATAGTGGGATTCGCCGTAGTCTGGGATGATGTTATCCTACTGATTATCATCGAAACAAACTGGGCAATATGCTTACCGTTCCACGAAATTATTTCGACAAGACTTGGCTTCATGGTTAGCATCTGCTCCCAGCGCAGGGTGGGCAGGTTCTCGCAAATGAACACCCAGTTCTTGCTGTTGAAGTGCGTAGCAAACCATGGTGAAACCGCTAGCAGACCTTAGCATGGCACAGTGGATTTTGTTGAGGAGCAACTCACGCGCCATATATGTCGTGCCTGCGAGGTCCTTGATAAATCGGTCATCCCAGATTGTTGTCATTGGCCCTTTGATGATGCTGTTGCCCCCGTCTGTTGGCCATGCATACCATGAGAACGCTCCATCGGCACCCCGCTGGGCATTGCTGGACGAAGCAGCAGGATCCTGAAGGTTAGGCACGGCATGGATAGGATGGGAGGTAGCTTGCTTGACGGGGCCCCAGTTGAAGCTGTCCCCGACGAAGGTGCTCACGACTGCGCCGCCGCGGTATTGCATCTGCGCTGGGTGGCTGGCGTATTGTTGCATGTAAGCGGTGATCTTGGCCGTATCTCCGTTGCTCCAGTAGGCGAAGTCAAACGAGATGAATACTTTGAAGTTGACCTTTTGGGCAGCTTGGTATGCGAGGGCGAGCTGCGTCGGGGTGTACTTGTCAATGCTGGCGCAATTGAGTGCGAATGCATCGATCCCGATGGCTTGCGCGGCTTTCATGTCGGTGATCCAGTCTTCCAGTTGATAGTTCTCAACGATGCCGACCTATCATAGTCAGCATTGATTATCTCGGAAGCTCAGTATGGTGATTGTCTACGGACCATGAAATGGGCGAAGACATATTTGGGCTCAGCCTGGGGCTCGGTGAGTCCGACATCCAGAGCCGGAGCTCCAAAGACTGGATTAAGAACGCTCGCCGCAATGGCAGCAAGAACGACAAGAGATTTCGCCAGCATCATTGATGAGAAAGGGTATATGGATTCTTGCCGAGCGGTATGAATGTATCATCTCAACAAATCCGAGATAGTGCCTGGGACGCCGATTTTATAGGTCGGAATTCCTCACAAATCACCAGGCGCCTGTTAGCATTCACCACTCCCTGGACATCCTACCCCGTGCCTGAAGATTCATACCCCAGACGGAGAATAAGTCCCATTGTAGGCTTCTTCCGAGCACAACTCTGCAACAGTAACTTCCCACTCGGAAAATAATTAAGGTTGTGTTATGCATCGAGCGTTGTGTTACCTGCAGTGGCAAGTAATTGCCCGAAGCCTTTGTGTAATTTCTCCTCTGGGGTTAGTATAGGTAGTACACCGGGTGCATCCATCCTAACCCAGGTTGCACTCGGGACTTTACGTCTACTTGGGGTTTCTTGGGGGGGCTCCTGACCTGATCACATTCAGTGGTTTCAACGGTTATTGCCGATGGGGTTGGTCAACTTCTACAATGTGTTGGGATATGATGGGGAGGGCTATTGGGGAAGAAGTAGACCGAGGAGAAGCCGTGACTCTCCAGAAGCTATCCCAGGTAGTATCAAGTAGGGCCTGTCTAATTATGACCAATATCGTAGTCCAATCATCAGCCCTGCTACAGTGAATGTTGATACATAGTGGCCTAAGGAGCTTTCGACATACATCCGCCCTGGGTGTCAGTAGTCTCCTCTTTGACCCCAATGCCCCGGAGGTTAGCTGCTTCGATTTAGTAAAAGTTTGATAGCAATGGCCTAGTAAGTATAATCTTGGTAAGTAGTCGAGAATGAGAATGAGGCACCTCAAATTATAGGATGTTGCGTTCCATTGACCTCAATCATTGTGGTGTATTCGAACTATTGGATGTTCGGGACTTAACAATTATGATATAGCTGTGATGTTTTTATTAGTCTAATGTATCTAGTTAGAAAGTTGTAGTATACAGAAAAGAAATGAGCCTTTTCTGACGATAGAACAATGTATACTCGTACTGTGTGGCAATAGAGGAAATAGTGCGTGGGGTTCAGCGAATGCGCGAATGGGCAATTTGAGTGGTGGAGTCTGATCACGTGATCCAGCAATCACACTCGCCAATTCCTGAGGATCCTAGTGTCAAAGAATAGTTGCCAAGACCTCCGGTAATGATTAACAAGTACGATGATTAACTCCGGCTGCCACCGATAAACTGAGGCGCAGAAAAGAGGTGGTGTAAGGTACAGTAGTATAGATGCCTGATGACAAAGGCCTGCCTGCGGTCGGAACAAGGTCGGCCCGTAGTCCGAGCTCCTACCTGGAAACTCCCAGCCTCCCCTCTTGGCACCTTCCCTCCCTGGCCTCTCTGGCCATTTCATATCTCGCGTTCTCCTCCCACCACCATCCCCACCATCACCACCATCATCACCAGCATCGCCAGCATCGCCAGCATCGCCAGCATCGCCAGCATCGTCAGAATCGTCCTCCTTCCCATCGGTCCCATCATCACCGTCTTTCTGTAGTAAAGGAAGTACGTGTTTCTTGCTGTCCTCGCCGCCAGTCCTGCCATTCCTGTGTTTTCATAGGACTCTCCGATCTCACTTTGTGACTTCGGATTGGGCATGTGCTCGTGACCAGGCCGCAAGGGCACGTACCAGTTTACTACTATCGTTGCCTCCATCACCTTTCATCCTCATTTATGCGAGTCAGGGCTGCTCAACGTCGCTTCAAAGCCCGGGTGGTCCTACTCTACTCTCATCGTTGCCTCCATCATCTTTCATCCTCCTTTGTTGCGAGTCAGGGCTGCTCACCGTCGCTCCAAAGCCCGGGTGGGAGGGTAACTCGATTTATCGAGGGTATATCGAACAGCTAATGTTGTAGCACAATGACCACGACTTCGCAAAACCCGACCGGGGTCTTGAAGAAGGCAGTTCTTGTTCATGCGCCCGATCTCGATGTTTCCTGCCGTGCCCGCCTTCGTATTATTCATGATCAAGCTGCTAACCAAGGATGCATCTTTCTTTCGATCACTGCAGATCTGGCTAACCTGAGCGGCAAATCACAGGTACTGACTTTGAATATCCCTCCAGAAAGTGTTGAACAATGTGCTTTAGCTCGACAAAGCAATAGTGAACTCTGTTCCTCCCACTTCGTTTCCATGCTCCCGGCGCCTGTTACCAATGTTTCGGCTGTCTCTACACTGAGTCTGAGCCTGGGTGCGACCGGCATTGTTCTTTGTCCATCTGAACTGGATTATATAAGCCCAGCAAGACCAGGCGACCTTGATATCCATTCATTCGCGAAAATCTGTCAATCCAAATTCCTCTACCTACACTTCTCCAGACGACAATTTGTGAATAAAGAATTCGATAAGCTGGAAATCTTCTCCCGAGCCCTACGCACAAAGTGTCTTCAAACAGTGTCTTTTGACCACTCTCGCCATGGCATGATCCAGAGAGATTGGCGTGTTTTTAATTTGTCGCCAAACCCACCCCCATATCGTCAAGAGCTCGTGTCCGAGCATTTAGAGCAGGTGGATCCACCCCTATACTGTGAGTCCGTGTCAGAGCAGGTAGTTAGAAAACGGCAGAGAGGTATTTCTCATCCTACCATCTAAGGTGCTCTGTCGTTCAGTAGTTTAATCATTGTATCTAGACCCATGGTCAGTGTCATCTCATGATGAAAGCCGAAAGAGAGTACTCCTTCAAGCCCTTCCACCGATAGGCTCTCCCACCGAAGTAAATACGCCTAGTACTCGCTCCCCTTCACCATCCTCCATTCGCCCAACCATCTTTCAGCGTGCTTCCTCCCCTGGCGACCCAGTGTGTAAGAAACTTGCGCGTCTAGAGCATGAGCTCCGTGGTGTTTCTGATGACCTGATTCGCGAACTATTAATCCGATCCGGACGAGGACATCTGCTGGCCATACCAAAGAACGTAGACCGTGACCTACCATGCGAGGTTCAGGAAGTCGGTTCTTCTGAGATCGAGATGGTTGAACAACGCCTCAAACGATATGTCGATGAAATGATCGAGCGCCGCCTCAAATCAGGCATACTGGACGAAGTTATCGATGGTGCTGCAAGCGAGTGTCGCGATCAGATCTATGATGAATGCAAAACCAACCAAGCCGAATTTCGCGAACAAGTCGACGATGGTAACTCCGAGGTACGCAACACAACGATGGAATGCCTGAAGGAAATAAACGAACAGGCACAAAGGCACATGCATGAAATAGAAGAGCAAGCGCAACAGTGCATGAAGGATATCGAGGATCAGGGAATCGAAGTTGAGATGTCTGCGAAGAGGAGTATGGCGGAGCTCAAGCGCTGGTTCAGTACCCCTGCTCAGTCCTTACCTGAAATCATGTCGAACCCTAGCCATGAGATAGATACTACTGCCAGGCGCAGTTCCATTTAGACTTGGTATGGGGTTCATAATTTATCATTATCTTCTGGCAATCACTTGGTCTTAAGTCCACATGAAAGGGGTGTAAACAAAAGATTCCAGCTATAGTTATCCCAGTCAAAGGGCCAAGCATAGCTGGGAGGCGGATGATTATGCCCTTCATATCTCCATAGTAGTTAGGTGAATAGATCAACCCATTGCCTCATTGCCACTTATGTTCAAATAGAAAGGTCTCAGACCTAGAAATAAAAGTCGAGTACGCACCTAGTCACATCATAGCGCAAAACCACACTCGCCGTGAGCCTCGGCTGGTTAGACGATCCCGCCCTACAGGTGCTCCGGCGCCGTGTGGCCGGCCATCCTGCGTGCAAACGTTCTGTGGTCCGAAAGTGATCCGTGGGGGACGCCCACCGGCCCACCGCGTCCGGGAGAGCATCTCGCGCGGCCAACTGGACAACGCTGACTGCAAGAGGATTTAAGGGATGCCAAATCATCAAACAAAAGACCATTGATTTTGTCAATTGACTTATCCGTACTTACAATAACTGCTAAAAATCCACGATATGGTCTAACACATGCTACATCTCAGATAAACATTCATCCATTGCTATCCACCTTACCCCGAACGATTAAGAATATATCTTGGTACATAGTATATGACTTCCTTTACAAATACTAGTTGCGATCCCTTTTTGGAATCACGAAAACCAGCATTCCTAGCTCATGTCTCAAGTCTTGAATTTTGTGTAAGTATCGTGAAAAGTTCGGTTTACATTGAAGCTTGAGTCAGATAAGCAATTTTAATCCTCTAAGTAGAACCTATAATTCTAAGTATAGATGAAGACCCATTTTTCCCCAGCCCTCAAGCTAGGAAGTTTCATGCAGATGTATGTTGGTTACGAAAACTCTTAACATGGAGGTGCAACTTTCAATTGACATCGTCTGATAATGAAGTGTGTTCACAATTTGTTACTGGAGTTCATCTTCCAACTATGCTCAACACTCAGCACTTTGTTTCACATACAAAAATGACACGGGTTCCATATATCTTTTTTTTTACCTGTCTTCTCTCATGGCACTTTACTATCCTCGTTAGGTCCATAGAGAGAGGATCGAGACACATATCGAGCCCATCCATCTTAAGATAAGCATAGAAGCTCCTCCAACCCGGCAAATCATAAATCCACGCACGTCGGTATTGCGTGTACACTCACTCAAAAATAAATGCCGTTTCTCTGTCGATCATGATGGAGAAAGCGATCTGTCCCGCGATGGTACGACATCACTCCACGAGAATATTCTCGATCCCCGCGTGCTTCGCAAGCTGACGACAGGAAGGGAGTTCACCCCCGTCCACAATTATTAACTTTGCCTTCATCCCTGTCTGGCCCTATAAATAAAGGGGATCCGTGTAGACTGTATGGCATGATCGCTCTTCATTTACGTATATTAGAGTGATTACCTGTCACCAATTTATGCATATTAAGCATTTCCACTCCTCCTCGGATCCGAAAATCATCTCGAGTCTAATTCCGGCATGGCCAAAGCTCATGGACTTTGGTTGACAGATCAAATAATCGGATATTAGCTCGGCATCTTGACCACCAACCACCGACTAGCTAATGCCCACCCACTGGTGGCAAAGGTTTTATTTATCATTTAATACTACGGGCGTCCAAGTGGGAACAATTTAAGCTAGATTAGGCCAAGCTTCACGCCTTGGCAGGGGCAAGGACACGGTTTGAACCCTCGTTCATGAGACATATATTACTAAAGGCTCCCGGGTCATGAGTCGTAGAGAAAAAAAAGAAAACTCGGTTCCAAAATTGTTACACACGGAGAATATCGGCGGGAAAGACATCCACCCATCTACTGAGGAATAGATGTCACCGGGGGTAGGTACACCGGGCTATTTTTGTTCTGTGTACCAGACAACGGTCGGAGTAGGATACAACCGTTGTCGGAGGTTGATGGACACGCATTGATAAGTTTTCGGTGCAGGATCTCTGTTTAGATGTTGAGCCGGTCCCTCTGCAGATTTAGGTAGTGGGTCTCGGGAGACGTTGGCCAGTTAGATAGTATAACGGTTTAGAGTCGCAGTGGTGTGGCAGTAGCGTGATTAGGGTAGATTAACGGGGGCATCGTGACTCCTCCAAAGTCTCACTGAGTCAGTGTCTGGCCAATCTCGCGGTTGTGGTGTATCCACCGGGCTGAGTTCTATTTCTTGGCGGTTGTGTCTCGACTGTCAAATGATTTTCCCCTGAGCTTGAATAGTGGGATTAGAGTGGGAAAGTCGGCACTAGATGCTCGGAGGCCCCACTGCGAAACCGGTACACTTGATCGGGGAGGCCGATAGATCAGAAGCAGTGGAGGAGAACCATGAAAGTTGAAATTGATGGAGGAAGAAAAAGGACATTCATCATAAGGATCGGACCGGTTGTAGGTACTGAATAAAACACAAAAGACAAAATTGCCACCCAAATAAATTATCCGCGCATTTAGACACTCTCGTTGACACTCACGTGGGTGACGACTTGAATGCCTGGATACATGATGCGCTCCTGCGAGTCATTAGTAGTCGTTTCCACTTCCGCCTGGCTGTGTCCTGTTACTGGTTTCAGCTTGATGCTATTATGCGCATTGTACGTCCGGCGAGTAGAACTGCCGTATATCTTCGACGGGCCAGCTGAGTCGCCATTGCTGGAGAAACCGAGGAGACGGTGGAGTCCTGGAAAGCAGGTACTAAGGAGTGACTTGAAGGAGGGAATGCATGCAATGAAGAGGGCGACGGCGACTTCCACACATGACCAGTTCATAGCGTTCACTAATGTCCCTGTAGGCATAGAATGTTAGTAAGTTCCAAGCATGTATTGAACAGCGACAATGTGACCTACAGGTATGGTCATTAGAAAACGGATTCAGATATGAGACCCGGATAATACTGGTGACACACACACTAAGCATCCAAGATGGTTAGTTTTGTCCACCGGTTTAGTGTAGAGGAAGGGTTCGCATACAGAAGACCCAGACTGAACATGATCACCAAGCCCGCTCGCTTGCCCACTGTCATCTTCAACCTCACCAGCTTAGGCATCGGCATCAGAAACAAAGCCAAGTCACTAGCGAGCTTGATCCCAAAGTTCGCATAATAAAAGGCCGTCATGTTCACACAGTGTCCCTCGACGTAGCCGGTAGCGTCCCACGCTTTGTGAACAGGCGTACACTGAAAGATAACGACAAGAGCTTCTGAGATTGTTTCCCCAATGATGATGACCAGCACACACCAACAACCAATCCGAAACCACTTCCCCGGAAAGATCGAAAGGTAAAGAACGCAAAAGGAGATTTTGATAAAGCCGAGAGCGAGAACGTAGGCGAGCATGGTCACGAAGTTGAGCTGTAATCATTCCACCGTCAGTATACATTGTCGTGGTAGTCGATGTGTCAGAGATGGTCTATACCCTTAGGAACATGCCCCGGTCGCTCATGCCGATTATACCAATATGCCTACCAAATCCATATTTGGTCACTGGGTAAGTAGGCTGTTAGTACATTATGTCAGGTCTCCTGTCGCTCGGATAAGCACTTACTGAGCATGCAGGTAAAGCAAAGAACGAATGTAAAGACCTACACAAGTCAGCAATGTTTCAGCAAAGGCTAGCAAACACACATTTAATACTGGAAAATTGGCAAACATACCCAACTGGTGATGCAGAGCACATCGTCGAAATTGATGCCCGTCAGGTGTCGAATACGGACGAAGATTCGAACCAACAGGCCGAATGTCGCAAAGACGAGAAGGATCACATTACAGGCAATGATCTCAGGAATCCGAGTCTGGGCCAGGTAGGCTATCCGCTCAGGCGTAAGATCTCTCTCCCGGATTCCTTCCATGGGGAAGACCTGCTAGCCGTGGAAAGGAAGGGACCAAAGAGTGAAGTCCAACAAAGAAGGGGATGGTCACATTTGCGAGAAAGATTGAGCGCATGCAGGCAGAGAAGTCATGACGGCGATAACCGCATATATGCCCCTGTAGTCTGCAGGGCCCGGGCTTGTTTCATCCGTCAACCACGAGTGGGGAAACGGATTTTACGACGCGTGGAATCCCCCACCGGCAGATGGTGTCGCACGTTGGGCTTGGAAGCTTCAGGGCAGGAATTGGCATTAGGCTGTGATTGATGGAATTGGCTGTTCATCCAGACCGCGGTTCACCGGACGATTTCCACGCCCCACTCGCTGATCCACTTGTTAATAATTTTACAATTTTTCCACGAACACATCCTTCATTGCCAGAAGAGGTTAAGTCTCCATCGCTGGGAGGATGGGTGTTGGCTAGAAGCTAAGCTTTGTAGGGGTTCTTCCAGATAGACCATCGCCAGGAGCAACTACCACATACGATCGATCAAGATGTTCAGATCTATGGAGGAGTCCGTCTGCCCTATGCACATTGGTCTTGCGGGAATCTTTCCGAGTTCTTCAATGAAGGGATCTGGCCTTTGGTTCCAATGAAGAGTTGCCTGCATAACTAGGCCTTAGAGTCGCTGGTTGTTGCGGTCGCAGTTACTATATCACAGTATGATCACTTGGGGCATATCAGATACGCGACCTATTCATTCCGAGAAGATCTTTTACTGTAACACGAGCAACATCAGGTGGTATAAAGATCTTCAGCAAAACCAAAGTTAGACAGAATAGGAGGATGGTGATTAAACTCGGTATGTAAAAGGAGGGAGGTCGAGAGATGCCGGACAGCCGACTGAAGAAGTCACTTTTCACACTACGGGTAACTGAAACCCACTAAGCAAGGGTCTACAATCGACACTTGTCATACGCTCTCAGATGGCATTTCTCCTAGCAAGATGGGGATAGCAGGTAGGTATACCCACATGCGCACTGAAACTCTAGTTTGTTTTACCGGCAATTGAGCATGTCGCATTTGGGGCTCATGGAGACGGGTTTGATCGTCGTGCTGTTTTGTCTCTTTGCAAGATATGCTCCATGGCATGTTGGCT